AGTTTGCAGATGTGCTGTTTTGTCTGAACAAGCACTGCTTCTCTCTTCTCGCCGTGTGGTTGAAAGAGGCGCTGCAACCTCCAGGATTCCCATCATCACGGATCACAGCTGAGCAGAAAGACAACTTTTCACACCAGATACTCAGGTAACACCACTGGACACACACATCCATAATGTCATCCTTTTATTTGGTCTCACTGAGATTTAACATGTGAAACAAATACAGAAACACACAGTAAAATCGAGGGAGTGTGAGACTCACATCATATGCGATAACACTTTAAGAACAAGTAACATCACATTGACCAAGAGGACTGTTCTGCATCACCACCAACTCTGACAGTTTCAGGTCCTTCTGTAGATTATTCCAGAAACAAGAGGTGGCATACTTCAAATTTCAAGTAAAATTCAAATTTTTTTTGTCACATAACATATCCATAGACAGTATGACATGAGGTGAAATGCTTATTGCTGTGCCATGCCCGACCATTAAATTACCATTACTTGAGGCATTGTCACATCTGTTGTTCATTTACTCTGAGTTTGTAAACTTATAACGTGTTCACTGTGATAATTTGTCACTACAAACCACACGAGACTGTTCAGTATGATCATTGGCTAGATATGTCTGGAGTGTGAGCAACAACAGTAAATACGGATGCTGTGTTCTGAACTGTTGGAGATTTAAGTTAAGTTCACAGTTGCTAGCCCGTACAGACCACAGCATGTATATTGGACCTTGTTACTTCCCAGAATACACGGCATACATGCGTTTTTTGCTCAAACTGGAAATTTACTCCTGGTAGTTTGTTCAGATTGAGGTCAAATCACATTCACACCATAAACGAACCACACAAAACTACCTCCTCCAAAGTGTCTCAGTGCGGTTGTTTTTGTCTGCACCCGAGCGCGATTACTGTGTCACAGCTACACAAAGGAACGGCACCAAGGGGGAAAACAAACCAGAGTTCTGCTCTAAGTTTGGAGACAAATGTTTGTAAAATATGAGACTTTACTGATTATGCTTTAAACACATGTTTGCACACAAAGAAGGAAGCAGCCCAAGGAGCAATTTACATATACTTTATAATTGTTTCTTTTCTGCCTTCTTTTCTTCTCTATTGTTAAACAGAGAGCGAGTGAACAAGAGGAGGGTGAAGGATATAGTGAAGGAGTTTACGCTACTGTGCAGAGGTCTCCATGGTACAGAGTACGCCGCTGAGTACTGAAACTCTACCCTTGAACTTTTACCTAACCATGACCTGTCTTCAGTGCAAAACAGCTGGATGCCACAACTACACAGTTCTCTTGAACCCCTTCAGCGAAGATATCATGAAATGATTGTAATGTAACCGAACCCGCTGCAGAACAAGACATGAAACCATTCCAGTGCAGACGCGCCATTGGATTAATGGACAAACATTAAATCCATGGCTCTAGAGAGGCCATGATTTCTTTTTTCTTTTTTTGTTATAACCTTGATTGTTTCTCTCGCCCACTTGCCTCTCTTCTCTTACTTAAAGGTCTTTTGTTAAGTCAAGCTTTGAGGAGAAGTGCTGCCACACATCTCCTTTTCTCTCTGTCTTGTTCTGCCTTTCTAGATCTTCCTGTGGTTCCTAGATTGTTTCCTGGTGATTAGCATCCATATGAAATGGTAGTGGTATCGTACGTAGCTACTTAACATTATTTTCAAAATGAATCAAATTAATTATATAAATGTATATGTATGCACATATATTAAGACAGTGGTTTTCAGTCCTGCTGCTGCTATAAAGAAAGGAGAAAAGGACCAATCTTAGGGGGAGGGGCGGGGGATTCTGCAGGAAGACTGACGTCGATATAATATTTAGTCCTACTCATGCCCCTTGTGATCTCTGCATTTGCCAAATTATCATGGATCTTTCATTTTTGTGTTTTGTTTTTAAATAAATGCCTTTTATGGGATTTATATGGAGGCAGAAAGCTGAAGACCACATTAACTTGGTCAGTCTTGCCCTGCCCATTGTGTACAGGGCTGTACCTCATGTACATATGATTCCACCCAGTCATATTGCAGTCTCCTCAGGTTTGTAGATAGTGGGTAATGCAGTGGTCCCTTAGGTGAAGCAGGGCTGCCTACAGTAACAAAATGAAAGGAAAATAAATTGTAGTTGCTGGAAGAGAACGCGGCCCAAGATGTAAATGAAGAAGGGAACAGACTGCTGGGAGGGAATAATAATCCTGACGGTGGACTGCTTAGTCACTGTAATTGTGCAAAAATATTAATCAACTTGTGCATATTAACAGTTATTGCTGAACACTTATGTGTATTTGAGTGTATGCGTGTGTTCATACCTGTATGTATGAGAGGTTGTGCATGAATGTGTGCGCGTGTGTCTGCACAGATTATATCTTTTTCCACTTGTTTAGTGCACTTATATCAGACCTACAGTTCACATGCATAATTTCTGCCGGTTTTTTAAAGAAAGAGCCCAGTCATCCATTCGTATCTTCATACCATTCTTATTCAGCTTACTCTCTTCATTAAAACTGACCATGCACGGCCAAATATTTCACCTATGCTGCTCACCAGCAACCACACCCATCTATTAAACCTCCTTTTCATGTGGAAAATCATTGCTGAGATTCATCCGTCTATCTGTTATTGACACCAACTACTGCTCTTAACGAACTGCTTGCAAACAAGCTACCCAGAATCCTTTTACCCACCTGGGTCACTGCCTTGGAGAGGACCGAGAAGGATTAGAGAGTTCAGTAACAAATTGCAAGACCGCTGAGAAAGTTTTTTTGAAACCGACATTCTGTGCTCATCTAATATGCCTGAGACATTATTGGTGAAGTGATGCGAGGGCTGTAAAATACACTGTCTAGTGAATCAGCAGGACCAGCTGACACCTAATAACACTCAGCATTTGAAATGTACTTTGTGGTCTCTGATAAAACTTTATCTCAGTCTAATCCTTCTGTCTTATCCGCGGTGCCTGCAGACATGTAGCATGTATGTGTTTTTGTGGGGAGGGGGTGGGTGGGGGCGAGGTAGGGTAGAGATGCGATTTGTGGAGTGAGATCCGAGGCATGAATCGGCTTTGGAGTGAGCTGTTCTGCTTCAGAGTCTGATATGAACTGTGACGTTGAACGCCGATCCTCTGTCGGTGTTTCGCTCTTACTCTGAGGCGAGGAAATGAACAATGTTTGTCACAGTTTAAAGAACGACTTGTAGGTGGAGGGGAGGGAGGTATGAAATGTACTTGGTTTTTTTTGTACCTTGGCTTTAATTTATTAAATATATCTAAGACTGCAACTCTTGACTTTTTATGTGTGTGTGTGTGTGGGAGCATTTTTGTTCTTTTCCTTCAACACTTGCATTAAAATGTCTGCAACCTCCTGCATATATTTTCCAATTTTCAAAACGTTTTACACAACTAAGAAAATGTCTTCAATTGCTTTGTTTTTTATAGCTTGAGAGAGTGAGCCTATTATGCGAATTTACAACTCCATATTTCTGTTTTTGGACTGCACCAGAGCAGCACTGTATTACTCACAGTTCAAAATAGTAGTTATTTACCTTATTCTGCTCCTGGGTGCAAACCCAGTGTATCCTATCCTCTCTCTTTAATGTCACCTTTAGTTAGAGCCAACTCTTTTCTGATTGGCTGTACCTGGTACATCAAGTTTAAACAGCAGTTGGGGGCTATTTCTTTACTCACAACATGAATTGTGTCCCTGAGATGACTATATTACCTGCACCCACAGCAGCTTTTTGCTTACAGGGTTTATTTGCACATATATTTGAATGGTAGCGTCAGAATTTGGCATAAAGAACATGAAAACATGGATCTACCCTGCCTTGTATTAGGCTTGTGATTGTGTTGTAATGATGTGGGCAATACTTTCTTGGCACACTTTGGGCCCCTTGGTACCAAATGAGCATTATTTTAAGGTCACAGCTGACCTGAGTATTGTACCTATCTTCTGATGGCTGCTTCCAGCAGGCTAGTTTGTGGTGTCACAAAATTTAAATGAACTTGAGAGTGAGTCCTCTGTACTCAGATGGCCTCCACAGTCACCAGGTCTGCAGCAGCTGTGTGATGTTTACTATCTTAGTGTGGACTGAGATCTCTGAGGAACTTTTTCAGCACCTTGTTGAATTTTTGCCACAAAGACCTGAGGCTGGAAAGATGTGCAGGGTGAGTTTATATGAGAAGAAATAAGGAAAACAGTCATTGGCTCCCTTGAGCTGTATACAATTCTTCAGGATCACCGGGACAGGATGTTAGAAATACTAAGATTAATAGTCAAAGTAAACCCCCAAAGTTTTCCAGCATGAAGATCTAAATGACATGCCCCCCCCCCCCCCAGTTCTATTAATTTCAGCTTGTTCTGAATCATTTTAAATAAAAAGATTCTTTTCATGTGTTTTAGAAATTTTAAAAGGAAAAGTACAAAATAATTTACAAGTTGCTTCCCTGTTGGCAATTTTCACATTAAAAGTTCAAAGCCTCCCAAAATTCACTGACATCACTGAAACTTCTAGTATGTTTGCTGATAATGATAAACAGACTGCCATCAACAGGATTTACAAAGAGGATTTATATAAAATAAAGAAATAACCTGTTTTGAAAGCATTATCCTCCTTTTGTCCTTTTTGCCCACTTAAAATATCTTTATAGGACTGTTGTGCAATTTCTGGTCCTGTTTGGTCAGAACTCGATTGAAAAAGGCATTTTTAATGGCAATGAGACTTTCACAGAATAAATAAAGGATAAATAGAAATCACTTTGCCAAAACAAAACAAAAACAAACAGATTCCAGCTTCTAACTTGTGACAGGAAAGTTCACTGTTGCTCAAAAGTAGTTGATATCATTCATAAGAAATATGGCTGAAATATGGGATAAAATTGACATATTATAAGCCAAAAAGTAATTTACCACAGTTTAAATACTGGGGATCAGTATCACTGAGCAAATACTATAAATCACTCTTTGCTACGACACCCACTTGCGCATGCGTCTTGCAGTTTGAGTGGCTCACACGTGGGTGCAGAGGTCCAGCCATCCTTCCATCCATTCAGTCAGTCAGTCAGTCAGTCAATCAGTGTGCAGACCGCAGCTAACCCAGCCGCTTTCAGTCTGTCCTGCAGGAGCAGAAGTCACTCCGGGACTCCAGCAGAGACCAGGTTTGATCCCAGACAGCGTAACTGCTGCTGCACGTAAGTTAGCTAATGTGCTTTCTGCTAACTCTGCTGCCTTTTAGCCGCTTAGCTTCCACACAGGAAACATGGAAAACTCCCCCAGCTCTTTTTAGACACGAGTCACTTATTAAGAAGTTGTATCCCTTATAATGTGTCGTTGTTGTGTTTCAGTCAGTTGACACAGAGGTGTGTTTGTGTGTGTTTATGTTGAAGGGGGTTGCAGTTTGTAGCGTGTTAAACACTAACAGAAAACTCCTGACCGTGCAGTGTGTGACCTGGCCATTTGTCAGGATCAGGATTGTGTGTGTGATTTTATATTGGACATAGTTCTGCATTTATTATTGTAATGTAGGTTTTATTAAGTGTAAAATTAAGGAAGTTTAATAGAATGTTCACCTGAGCCACAGCAGATATATATAAGGAAATGAATAAATACTTTTGAAACCATGAAATCATAAGTGTTCATGACAAACATCTCTTATCTCTTGAAAATCTGATGACATGAATTATTTTTTAATTAGAATATTTTTAATGAGTGCTAGGGTACTGCTCATTTTTCTTTAGGGGAGCCCGGAATTTCTTATGTGGAGGAAAAAAACTTATTCTCTGCACATGTGTCAATACATGTAGAGTACAGATCAAAGAAAACCTTCACATGTTGGTTTTCTAACCTTGCAAAAGTGTTAAACATGTTTATAATTCAAACAACTTGAGTTGGATCTAGACATTTTCCAGATGTTTTACCAAAAATGGATTAACTTTCTTTTGTAATTAAAAATTGGAATAGTTAATGACTTGAATACAACTTTCAAACTTTGTTGTGGTCCCTGGGTTGTATGTTCAACATGCTGATATCGTTGGCTTTCTGTGACGATTTGCAACCTTTTTCTCCTTTTGAATCAAACGTACAGTGGACTGAAAACTTTTAGAAACTACAAATAAATTGAGATCGTGCAGTATTAATAGTTTTTATTTGTTTTGAACTTAATGTACAGTAAATGAAAATTAGATTTCAGTGCGTTTTCTGCTAATGTAAATTCTTAGAATTTCAAATCAAAATAAAGTGATCTGTACCAGCGTTCTTCCTCTTAGCTCCTGTTCCACCTTTGTAGCAAATTTCATGAAATTCACCTCTGTAGTTTTTGTAGTCTTGCTGAAAATCCAAAAAAAAAGACCTTTAAGAAAAAGCCTAAGTCGGAGTGAGAATTTATCTTGTAACATCCTCTCTGTTCTGTGTGCCTTTGAGGTCCTTGGTACAAAATGTGCAGATTCAGCCTCCCTCCTCTGTCTTTTATCCCTTCATTAAATCGCTGACTCCATGATGATGAAATCCGGGCGCTGTGTGGCCCATAGCATGTTGCAGGACTCCAGTTCTTTTTCCTGTTTGGGTTCAGAATGAAGTGTAGCCCAATCCTGCTACAGCATAATGGTTTGTAATCAAAATATTTTAAGCTCTTAAAGCTTTTGAAAACTGCCATATCTAAACATAGATTACTCTGGTATACTGATAGATGGCTTTCACAGCCTCTCTGAGGTCTTGCGGAGGTGTTGGAATGGGTTGTAGGCTTTTTGCAGTATTACGAGTGGCCTGCTATCTCGTTATTGGTTTGTCTTGACCTGAATCGATCTGGAGACTAGGGTCGGCACACTTAATATTGGTCATCAATTTCATACTTTGGACTCTGATTTAATGACTCGTTACTTCAGAAAATGCAGTCAGTAATAGGCTAAATCAATTCTATTGACAAATGATCCCTAAAATTCACCTTCTTTGACCCTCTACAATTGATTTGACTAATGCACTACCCTCTGCCTTTAAACTGGATTTGTGTATCTCTTCATCAGTCATGGCTGTCGTGAGGTTCTACAGTAATGAAGCTCTGAAAAATCGGGCCTTACAAAGGGCAGCAAAGCTCTACCCACATCTGTTAGTCACGACCGAGCTGTGCTACAATGTGGAACTGACAGGTGAGTGTGTAACAGGCCTTGAAGATGCTAATTATTATGGATGTGGGTAGAATGAGGATTAAAGTCACTGAATTCACCTTAAAGGTTTTTTACTAGTCTACCACTTAAAATGTCACATTTACATCTGTTTATAATGTTTTGTCCTGCTGTGATTTTTCTCCTGCAGGCTGCGAGAGTCTCAGCCATGAGCAGAAGGGGGTTCTACTCTGGTTGTTTCGTCATCCTCTGCACGCAGAGCCGCTGTCTGAGAAACCAAACCTCACAGAGGGCAGTGGGGAGAAACTGGTGGAGATCGGGCCCAGGTACTGCTGCCTGGTTTTTAGAGATAATTCATTTGCATCTCAGTCTTTTTGCTTAGCACAAAACACACAGATGCCATCTGCAGTTGCTTTACCAGGCAATCCCTGCTCTTATTTCGAAAGTTCAGTCACTGCCAAGCAGCTAGCCCTGGCCTTTCCCTGTGAATCCTGACTTGATGAGGTCCTGGCTAGGTAGCAATCAGCTGCTTTACCAGCGAGGATCCGACATCCACCTCCACTGTTTTTGGATTGCAGCTGGGATTGCTAGTCCTTGTTCTTTTTTGAGATCCACAGCACCTCTCTAACTAAAATGGTTCAGATATTGCAGTCCTAGGCAGCAGGTCGCGATTACGAGCTGCAAGAAGGTGGAGCTGGAAGAAAGATACAAATCTGTACCTGTGCATTTTCAAATGTTTGTGTTCCAGGTGCTGCATGTTTGTTTTCTTGGCAGTTGGCGATACATTGTGCATTTCTATTTGTACTCTATTCTTTGACCACATATACCCCAACTTTTTTTCTTTCTTTTTTTTCCCTCCTGCCTTAGACATTGTCATTCTGTATAAATAAGATTCCAGTTAGTGAAATGAGAACTTAAGGTTATGAAATACAGGAAACAAAGAAGTCAAACTGGTAAACTGCAAATAAGCCAGGCCGTGAGGGTTCTGGCCAAGACGTTTGTGACTTCCTGTAGCATACATTAAAATAAATACTGTCTGTACTGAACAATGTTAGGCAGGTGTTCACTGTGACTAAGGGTAAGTAATATGGAAATCTTTAAAAGTGCTGAGCAGACTGTAGGCGAGCCTGACTTAAAAGTAAATAGGGAAACATATGGTACAGTTTTAATTAAAATAATTCTTTTAAATCGTTCATATGAGAGAAAGTCTACATTATAAAAAAAGTCTTTTATGTTATATTTTCAGGTTGAACTTCTCCACTGCCTGGTCCACTAACGCTGTGTCCATCTGCCAGAGTGCCGGTCTCACTAATGTCACCCGAGTTGAGCTGTCGCGCAGGTTTCTCATCAAGGTGTGAACACACACACACACACACACACACACACACACACACACACACACACA